GAACATCCTGATTTTTGCAAAGCAGATGGTTCACGAGGACAGCGTACATTTTATTTGCAGAGTTCATTTGAAAAGGCTTGCCTGGGAATGCTGTCAAATGGGTGGAAAATTACCTGAAAAACTGTAAACAAAGGCTGCCGATATAAATAGGGTTTGTGAAGTTCAGAAAGGTGTTTTATCAATCCCGAATGTATGTCTGTGTTGCATCGCTGACATCAGTGGGTTACCATCATCAAGAGGTGAGCTGCATTTTCATGCCCATCTGTCCAGCACCTACCGCAGTGAAGTTGTAATACCGTTCGTAGCCTGTGACTCTCACTGTAACGTAACCACTGCACTGCCCAGTGTGGCTCAAGAAGTGTTAGGAGCAAACCTCTCCGATTTCTTCGTTAGTGAATGGAAAAGGGCTGCTGCAAGGAGCCAAGGGCAAAATGCGAAGTTTCAGCTTCGCAAAAGTATTGCCGTGAATGAGGATCGCAAAAGTATTGCCATGAATGAGGAGCTCAATTCTGATTTGTGTTACGTAAGTAACATTTGTGTAGTACTCCTAAATTTAAAGAACTATGTGAAAGGTTGATCTCTTTTTTTTTTTTAAATAGTGAAACCGAATTATTAAGTGCCTGAGATTTTTGTCTTTACTTCTTGTGTGGTTACTGATACATTTTGCACATTACCGGTGGGAAGGCGGTCTGTCATCCTTAAAGTTTTAAGAACCTGAAAATAAGCCTCAGTGGCTCTTTGCTATTGCACTCTTAGGAAGACGAACCTCGTTCATGTGAGTAGTTACAGGCGGGCTCTTGCTCGTCTCCCTCCTCTCTTGTAATTCCGTTGCTTAATGAGGTGCTTTTCAGACAAATAGGTTTGAGAATAGCTGGGCGCAGATGTCCAGGTGCCTGGGTGTTTTGCCTGAAAATGGTTGTCAGTCTTCATTTTCATTTCAGCTCTCAAGCCGCGTTGAGACACCAGCTTTCCTGTCACTGCGAATGTTAATTCAGCCAAGGGAGCTGCACGACTTATTGCATAGTTTTCCCTCCCGAGTAGGCACCTGTCTTCCCCGCTGTTAGCTGTCTGCAGGCTGCTCTCTGAAATGCGCACGTCGAGGCACCTGCTGCAGCAGAGCTTTCAGGCTAGCTTGGTTTCAGTGCTGCGCTGAGCAGGAGCAGGCACAAGCCAAAGAAACGAGCTTCAGGGTAGGAAGTGGTGTTTTGGTCAGGTTCTGGAAAAGTTTCTCAAATGCTCTTTCCAGCATCTCTTTACAGTAAAAAAACAAACAAACCAAGCAACAAAGAACAAACCCTAAAGGAACAATAAGCCTCATACAGACCTCCTGGCTCACGTTCGCTCCAGACTTTGTTTATTTAGGCAGCAAAACTATGAACTCATGGTATTAGTTCAAGGCAAACTGCATCTGGTTTTGGTTTTCTTTAATAATCTTTATTTTTCAGCTTTGCCTTTTCCTTCTGTCTTTCCCATGTTCTTGTCTGCCATCCGAGGATCCCTGCTGTCCCAGCACCGCATCTTCTTGTTAAGCAGAGCTAGCTGCTTCCTCCCATCCAGGGCTACAAACCTGCCGAGGCTTAGGGCTATGCTGTCTGCAGGGCTGAGCGCCTCCCCTCTGTGACTTGGCTCCATCTAGTTCAATTCATTGCTATTTTCTAGATGTTTGCCAGAGCTTCCTAGTAAAGTGAAGTCCTCTGGGAATCCCAAATAGGTTTTTTTGTTTGTTTGCTTGGTAGTTTATTGGGTGTCAAAATGGCCCAATGAAAAAAAACCGAAAGCATAGTGTTCCTTATGGGAGCTTAGTTAATCACAACTGATTAAGGGGAAGCTTGATACTACCTGCCCAGCCACAGAGGTGAGTTATCACACCCAAACGTATAGGGTCAGGAGGAATCCGTCTTAAGTCAGTACAGCTTAATACTGTGCCTGTATTTATATCTACTTGAAGGCAAGAGATAACACGTCTAAGCTTCCTAATGTGACAAGAGCAGGCAGAATTGGGAGAAGGTTGTGCAGATGGGAGTGCAGAGCTCTGTTGCTCTGCGAGCACGTGTCTCAGAGACCTTTGCTGTCCCACTTTGTGTGCGTGGGAAGCATTATTCAAAAACTTGACAGGATCCCCAAGGTTCAGAGCTGATGGGCCTCACAGGGAGTACAGAAAGCATCCACTAAAGATAGTTCCCTGTGGTTGTAAAAATGAGGAGTTGTAGGGGTAAAAGCAGCCACACTGACATTTTTTCAGGAAAACAATTCTGGTATCTCTCCTCAGGCGATGTGGGAGATTAGCAGGACTTTTCTAAAAGAATGCAAGAAACCTTCTTTTCTAATGAAGCTATGTTTTAAAAAAGGAAAGAGACTGTTTGCAGAGGTTTCATTTGGTGATTGATTACTGTTGACAATACAAGTTCTTGTTGCACACAAGCAAAGTTTTGCAATAGATATACAATTATTTTATGTTTTCAGATCCCTGCTAGAGAATTTGGATATTCAGTTTTAGTTTTTCTCCATGGTATTTATCCAAACCAAGCCTTGCCTGGGTGTCCTAGAATAATGCTGAGTATCAACATTTCTATTTTTTTTCTGAATTGAATTAACTACCTCTACTTTTAAAGTTGATTAAGATAAATCAGAGTAAGGTATTCCTTCATTGTAGTTCGAGCCCTACTTTATTCTGCAACGACTTTCATGTGTAGACAAGCCTTTAGAAAACTCTTTTTGTTTAAAATGAAATCTCCTTGATTTTTAAGCCCTTGCATTTTAAGCTCGTACTGAGAAATGAATGATACTCCTTTAACTGATTGTTTTTTCCTCTGCAGACTATAAGATGGCACATCGATCTACAACCATGGGCAAGTCCAACTCCTTCCCTGAACTATGAGGCCTTGAGGTTCCTGAAGTATATAAGCACTTCTCAGGTAGGTTTTCATTTCTATCTCTATTTAGAAAATTGCCTGACACTGCCTGTTTCCTCTCAGATAAGGAATTAACCTCACACCAAGCTGCTGTTGCAATTGCTTGGAATGTGTTATATTTCCAAAGTTGCTCAGCTTAGCCGTGATGGTCAACATTGTTGGGGGAGGCTGAATCTGGTAGCCTGATTGAGGTGAGGCTGCTGCGCAGCTTTTTGTGTCCCCATGTCCAGCTACTAGTGAGGCTGAGCATGTATTCCCAGCACAAACACACATACACACCGCATGTATACACAGCCAGCCACAGAGATCAACTCAAACACAAACAGCACCAATAGCTTCATCCTGTTCCCCGCTCTGGCTGATCAGGATGATGGTCTGTTAATGGGAAATATATATATATATGTGTATGTACAATGTGGGTCCCTCTAGTAGCAGGGCTGAGACACAGTCTGCTTAGCAGCTGCCCCTGGATCCCCACTCTCTTCAGTTGCTGGCACCTGGACATACAAGCCCGTAAGGCCTGCAGCCCCCTCCAGCTGCTGGTACACACATACCTGCTTCCCCTGCAGCATAACCTGCTCGCCAGCTGATCTGGCTTGATATTCACTAGCAGTTGCACACTGGCTTACATACCTTCGCTCTCCCCAGTTGCTGACCGAGAGACCCGCAGGCCTTCTGACCTGTCGTCTCACTCCAGTTGCTGGCACTTAGGCACGTGCATGCAGAATAGAGAGCCTCCAGGAAAACAGTTAGACATGGAATTTAATAAGAAGGTAGGACAGGCTGTGCTGATCAGGCACAGGGCATGGCCAGACAAACACACTGACCAGCACTGTTTGCACCTGACTGGCCCTTTTTATTGCATTATCCCTCTATTTTCCCATGTTTGTTCCTCTCCAAACCTCCTTGATCCCTCCCTTTCTCTGCCTTTGGTTCCTCCCGTGAACATCCCGTAACAAGTCCTGTGCAGTCCTGAAATGCCGTTCCCCTGCATCCCACAATGAATCCCTTACCCCTAAGCAGTAACCCCACCTCCAAAAGTCCAAAAGGTGCTCTGGAGAGTGTCTCCCACTGACTCATCTTGATGGTTTTCATACGTGGACCGTGAGGCTCCCCAGGACAGCCCGGGGCAGGGGTTCCATTTCTCTGACTGGGCTTTTAGGGTTCCCCCGCCTGGCGTTGTGTCTCTGTGCTCTTTCATGTGTGTGCTGTTGAGCCTTTTAGGGGTTGACTGCTCTCTTGTAAGGGGCCTGGGAGTAGCCAGGGCAGGGTATTATTCGGGGTCCCCCATTTTCCCCCTGTTCCTCCGTGCTCCTCTGTGTGCGGGCAGAGTAGCTTTTTATCACGTAGGCCAACAAACATGAATGTGAAGATCAAAACACAGGGTAGAAAAGAGTGCATTATTTCCTTGCTTTTTATTTATAGAGTAGTTCATGTCCTGACAGAAGAATAATACAGCTGAAATTCCAGAAATCATTTGTCCCCCATTTTTTCTCTCTTTCTCACTCTCTCAGATAAGGAAAAGTACTGAGCACTATGTAGCAAAAGGGCTGTGTATTCTACCACCAGCCTCTCAGTAATAATGTGATAACCAGGTTCATTTTAATTTAAAAAGGGTGCGTTTGAGGTTCGCAGTAAAATGAGAACAAGGCATCAGTCCCTAGCCTGGGCAAGTTTTCCCAATAGTAGCAACAGAATTCTGATTATCTGAGAACAAAAAAGGTGGTGATGATCTGAAATACTAGTATTTTCATGTGCTTTTTCAAAGGTATCACCCCCAAATCCACCTTGCATTGACAGATGCTTCCAGGGCTCAAATCTATGGAAATCAGGCTATCATGTCTTACTGTAGACATCGCTTCTGCACAACAGTGTTTATACATATATTTCTTGTAATGAAGAATGGAAAAGGTACTGGATGTCTGCAGTTGTGACAGGGCTGGTACTTTTAAGTATTCAGGTCTATCAGCAAGTGGCCCTTCAATACAGATTTAACCGAGCCATCTCTTACGCAGAAGAATAACAAAATGCCTCAGGTGTTTATGTTCCTGAAATGTCATTAACATTAATTTGTATTAAAATAATGCTTTGTTAATGCAACACTTTTAAGGCTGAGATGGAAGAATCAGTTGAAATACGTCTAAAAATATGCTGCTGTGCTTATGGTATAGCTACTGGGAGGGCAGCAGAGTGTTCACTTAGCCTCAAGCTTGTGGCTACGCCTGGCTAAATGTTCAGAAACGTGGAAATGATGTCTTGGTCTCCATGCACTCTGGCACTGAGAGGGCAGGAGGAAAGGGGACTCACATGGAGACAGCAGAGATGCTGCTTGTTATCTAGTAGAGAAGTTTAGGCTGAGGCAGGCATATAAATCTGAAAACAGCCTTCGTCTCAGCAACTTAATAAACAGTGGCAGATTCTGCTAGGCTCCACTAGTTGGGTCAAAACCTACAAGGGCATCAATTAGCAGAGAGTTTATTGCTTCTGACATGCTAATCAAGAAGTTTTGTTCCCAGAGTAACTGACCCTGGGGACAAGCATAAGTGAAAACAAAAAAAGGAGAGAAACCCTTGTTTCTGACCTGGCAGATGTTACACGATTAACAGCTGACAGGATAACACTATGACTGGTATGAGCATTACATGAAATGGGATCCTGCTTACATAGATGAGCATGGGATCTCGTTTTCTTTGAGTGCTGAGCAAGTGTCAGCTAATTACTCTGCCTGTGTTCAGCTGATTGTGTTTAGCAGAAAGGATCACACCAGTGGAGGGAGAAGGTGCCATGTCATCAGGGTTCACGGGGGTGTGAACCAAAGCTTTTTCAATACCGATACCTAATAATCAGAAGAACCATCTTATGCTTGCTGTTATCTGTATAATAGCAATGCACAGAAGCCCAGCCCAGGGCCTTATGTTCTGCATGTCACAGCATGGACTGGTGATGGTGCTAAAGGTAGAGTTCAGGTCTTCTGATTGATGGTTATATTTCAATAGCAAGAGCTGTTAAAATTGCTCCAAATGGTGAGTGTTGTAATTGCTCATAATACCGTAAGTCAATTAAGCAGTAGCATGGCAGACTTTTATTTTTCTGTGGAGAGCGTGTTTTTCTGTGTCTTAAAATTAGTGCTTGTTATCACAAAGCCATCTCTTCCTTGATTGTTATATGACAGAAGGGAAACGGGTAGTCGGGTGCAGTACAAGTCATTGAATTCTGAGAGCAGTGTGAAGAGATGCTATATAAGCTTTTATGAATCTTCTCTGGGAATTATGAGCTAAGCAGGGGTAGGGAGGTTGTGGTGCAGCATGCAGCTCTGTGAATGTAACGCTCTAGATAATGATATTTCAGAGCTTAAGCCTCTTTAAAAATGAGCGTTTTATTTACTTACTATAAGGCATGTGGACAGCGCCTACCATAGCAAAGGCTGGATTCCAGTTTTCATTCTTACCCCTGTATATAATTGTTCAGAAACAAAAATTTCTGAACAACTGTTCAGAAAGATCTGTGCTTTTTAGTTTGGCTAAAGCGAGAACTGAGCCTGAGAAGGAAAGTGTGAGAATAGTCAGCGGAGGACTGATATTTAACCTGTTTTTCTCTCAACTGCTGTCTTTCCTCCTGTTTTTGGCTTTCCGGTGGCGCCGGCTCCCATCCCTGACAGTTCCTGGAATCGCAGCTGGTGCTGGGTTCAGAAAGCAACTTTTCCCTGCAAAGGCTCAGTTGGGTGCCTGCAATTCTGCACAGTTTTTGCTCTCATATCTGCGTCTTAGCAGTTTATGCACTGCAACTCCTGAATCTGATGGTCAGGCCGCGCTCGCTTGGAAAAGACCTTTGACAACCACAAGTGTAAGCTGTTGTCAGTGCAGAGCAGTGCAGCCTCTCTTAGGCAGAAGTAGCCATAGCTGCTGTGCTTACCTCTGCTTTCCGTTATCCCCTTAGCACTGCTGCACCAACGGCCTTACCAATTGCACTGGCTTTCCCTCGGCTTCTATATGCCGTGCTCCTTGTATGATGTGTTGGGGCACCCTCTTCCAGCTCCACAAGTGTCTTTTCCCAGAGTGGGCCTGGAGGAGGGTGGTGGTATGGGGGAGCATCGCAAAGACTGCGGGCAAAGTGTAGCCCCTGATGCTAGCCACTTTTGCAGCCCTTGAATCCCTCAGCTGGTAGGTGCAGTGGCATCTCTCTACAGACGCCTGGGTGCTAACTGGTAGAGCACAGCTCTGCGTGTATGGTGATGAGAGCAGCAGGGGCGTTGGAGCTCTTACCTAGCCGGGTGGCCAAGCAAAGCTGAGGTTGCAGACAAGGCTTCTCCATCCAATGTCATTCCGACGTCGCCTAGCTGTTGGCTCAGAGTCACTGTTGTGTTTTGGCTGTTTTAGGCTGTTGCTCAGGTGCTAGCAAAACTGACGACCTTTCAGTCAAACGATGTAGACACTCCATTATGTAACCAGGTTTCTGATGAATCCACCACTTTTTACGACTTGCTTCCTTGTTCTTTAGAAGGACTTTGACTTACAGAACCTGCAGAAGGAACAGTCTATCTCTTCTCCTTTTGCAATGCTTTTTTCCCAGCTTTGGACTCGAGATACCTAAGCTAACATAGCATTGAATCACATGCGGTGAGTCCTCTGTTTAGTTAAGCACTTGCTTAAATCCCTTTGTTAATGGATAGGGGATGTGTTTAGGTCATCGTCATATCTCTTTGGGAACTGAAATCTGAGACTCTCAAGGTATAATATACAGTGTACATTGCAGTGAAACTGTCTTTTAAATAAATAGTGAATCATTAGATTTTATTTTGACGTGATACAGGCTGCAAAATCCAGCCTAAGGTGTGAAAGGAAAAAAATAATACATTTTTATGCTGAAATAAGTTGTTCTCAGGAAAATTGATTTCAGGGTATAGTACTAACGTTTAATTACTTGCTTTTCAAACTGTGTTGCTCTCTGGGGGATTATGTAAGCCTTAAATTTCACTAAACAGAACACACAAACAAGGAAAAAAAAAAATCACATCTCCGTAACTGTGGAACTGACTGTCAATCAGATTTTAATTAAACCAATTAACATTTCTCTTCTTTCAACTCTTTCCCCAGAAGACAAATTAAAAACAAATTAAAGTAGCTACATATTAAAATGAAGCATCCTTTGATTTCAACAGATTTCATGTGAACACATGAACCTGAGCAGCCTGACAGGGCACTCTGAAACCACAAAGAAGCCCTGGTCAATCTGTCTTGATGAGAGGTTTAGCCTCATTCATCGAATCAGAAACAAGCAATGCCGCCTCTATTCCCTTGGGTAAGTGCTCTCTTTAAAATGCAGCAAATCATTTCATGATACGTTTAAGCCTCAGAAAGCCTTGTAAGTGCAAAACAGACTGCGACAATGCTGTCTTTTCAAAATGTGGACTTTGTTCAGGTGTGTTTAATATATATAGATGTGCTGCTATAGACAGTGTTTTTAGGAAAAATCTTTCTCCATAAGGGTCTTCATTTTACTTCACTTTTGTAATATGAGCATGAAAGCAAATTTCCTAATAGTGAGTCGTGAGTGGTGATCTTGATGGAGGATGATGGAAATTAATGAGATAAACTGAGGCGCGTACAGCATCTTCCTTGAGCAGAAATGCCTTGCATAATTGCTGGCTACTTCAGCAGCATTATTCATAAAACTTCATTAACAAAGTCATACATCTCCATATGAGAGTGTGTTTGCTGCGCACTACAGGGGTGGCATGTGCCAAAGTGATAATAGTAAAGGCAGTTGTGGCTTTATTTAAAGATGTTTATAGTCTTTATGTAATGTTTGCAGCACTTGAGATCGAAATGTTCACTCTTCACAGAACAAGGTAGTAAAACTACAAATGTAGCTAGTTTCCCTGCTAATAATAACACTCTACTTCTCTGAAGACTGAACTCCCTTGTCCTTCCAAGTTTATCAAACCTCTGGCCTTTTACATTTTACAGCAGGGCATAGTTTGATTATGAGAATGATGATTGGGATCTGGACCTCATTTCATGCAGATCACCAAATGACTGCCATCTAATAAAACTTGCTATTTGTTTTCCTGGAGCCAGCTTCAGGTTAGAGAGATATTGAAAGACCCCCATCTCCCCTGAATCAGCACAGTTTATTTCTGTGATTTTTGCTGTTGTGGGTTTAGAAACCTTCCATGGCAAAGAGCTTTTGGGATATCGTTTCTCAGGGATTAGCACACAGCAGTTAGCATCAGCAGTTAACATAGAGTGGATCCAGAGCCTACTACAGTCAAAGGGAGTATTTTCTATTAACTTGAGTGGGCTTTGGATCAAGTGGTGTAAAGACCATTGTGGTGTAAAGACCATTGAGCTGTAAAGACCAAACTCCTGAGAGAGCAAGATGCTCTCAGATATCGGTCAGCCTTATTGCTCGGTGGCAGAAAAAAATTGCTCTTTAGAGATGGACCGTGTCTGTGGAAAGCAAGCTCCCCTCGACTATTCTTGCTGCTTATTTTCTGAGCATTCTTCATAATCCATTTTAAATGATACTGACCTATCTTTAATGCAAAATGTAGGTGTTTAATTAAAAAAAAAAAAAACACCTTTTCACTTCCTGTGGAAGTTGGGAGGTGCTATATTAACCCACACTTAGGTCCAAACTTTTCCTGCTCAGCTGTAGTACTGGTTCATTGCCTGAGGCTCCTTCTAACAGTCAGTGGGAGAGAGGAAGGCACATTCAGGTGGAAAATCAGCTAAGCTGAATAACCTTCTGGAAGTACCTATGGCTTTCTTTTGATTTGAGAGGGAGCCTAGGATAACATGGCTGCTGACTTCAGGTGTCTTAGTGAAGTCCTCAAAGTTTGATGGAATGGATCATGAACCTTACTCTGCAAGTTACATGATTATTAATACTAGATCTATCTTCCAACGTTAATGTCCCTCTGTCCCTTTAAGATGGGCCAGGCGTAGGTTGAGAAATGTATTTCTGTTGAATTAGCCGGTAGACACAATGCAGAGTTTGTCAGCTGTGCTAGGACAGATCTGGCACAAAGCCGATGGACCCAAAGATAACTTGCTGGTGTTTTTTGAACAGATCTCAATTGGTGAGTGTATACCCCATCGGTACTTTGTATGTGGTGCTGTTTTTGATGTGGTATAGGGAACCCAAATACCAGATTTTCTGTTCTGATGGAACAGTAAGCTTAGCAGAGATTGAAACTGATGTTGACTTTGCCATCAATCATCATACTCACACGTGCAATAGATACCCAGGAATGAGGTATCTCAAGAAACAGCTAAAAAAGTAAAGAGATATTTGGGGTTGAGGAGGAGTAGTCTTTAATCCTTCAGATTCCTTTTGCAGCCTTTGGAGCTTATTACTGCTTAATTCTTCTGCCAGACTGACTTCCTTTAGTTTATGACAGGCAGATAAGTAATTTTGCTCCGATTAAGACAAAAATCCCCTTTAAATGTTTCGGCTGTCTCGTGCACTTCATAAAGAGCAAACGGAGAGCAGCTGCTTTCAGCGAAGAACATTCTCTGTGGAGAGGACAGAGGGAGCACAAATGCGAAAGTTCAGCGTGAGTGTTACTGGGAATCCTGAATTAGATCCATGCATCATGAAAAATTGAACAAAACATACTGCTTGTACTCTGCCTTCATGAGGGCTGTAGAAGAGGTTACACGTGAATGGGAGCGAGCAGTGTCTGAAACCTCTGGAGGTCTTTTTAGATTAGTATTAGTTGCTTCCATTACTGTGAGGCAGCAATGTTTTTGCTTGGGGGATAGGATTTCCCAGTATGACATGTAATTGCAATCTGCATTAGTGAGCTCTAGTTATTAGTGCTAAATCTGCTTAGATTAAACTAAGTCTGTAACAAACACAACAGGCAGGCGCTCAGGCTGGGATAATACAAATGAATAGGATTTCAGAAACTTAGCAGCAGAGGTTTTAAATGGTCACTGCAAGACCATAAGAAAGACTTTCCAGGAGGACCTTAAAATGAAGGGGACTCAGGGTCCAGGCAGGGAAGGCTTCTTTTCTCCCCGGTTGCAGAGCTTGGCTATCTTCCTTTGAGGGAGGAAAACAACAACAACAACAACAAACACCAAAAGAGCATGCATGTTTTTACACCTCTGTTCGGTGATCCCTTTGGAAGCCAGAGCACCTGCAAGCAGCAGGCTGGGATAGCTGTGGCTGTCACCTAGAGCCGTGGCAGCTGCGGTGGAGGTGATGCAGCCGCCCTTGTGCCGCCTGCACGTTCGCTGTGCTCCAGGTGAATGTGGGGGCCCGCCTGATGCAGTGCAAGCTCCAGCCCAGGGCTTATTGGAAGTGTGAGGCTCGGTTCACCGTGACCTTCTGCGAACCCTGCAAGCAGAGGATAGCCAAAGGACACCGCCGGCCCGTCTGCCCCTGGTATGCCGCTCTGTCTCCTTGATGGGCTTGCCTGCCCTGCCGCCTGGGAGCGGTGCCCGCAGAGCCCTTTTATTCCACTCGCACGCAGGCAGGAAGGGTCCCTTCGCTGGATGTTGTTTCTTCTCCTTTTAAAGCTCACCTTTACCCCTGCTACAGGGGATTGCGTGCAACTATTGACCGTGTGACCAAGTTCGGTCTTCTCCTTTACGGTAAAAATAGGTCAGCGTCTTTTGCATTTTTCATGTTGCTGTTACAGAAGACGGCAGCTGCTCTCTCCCGCTGGTGGGGAAGGGCCTCTCTAGTGTTTTGTGACCTCAACACACTTCTGTTAAGATCATAATCCTTTCAAAAGAATGTAAAATCTCTCTCAGGAAATCTCATTTGTTTACTTTTTTCATGCTGCGTTAGCACTTAGCATGGTCACGCATGAGCCTGGAATATTGCAAAGCAGTTTGCAGTTCTTTTGAATGTTGTTTTCTCTTGTTAATATTTGTTGCTGATTAGCTCTCTCTTCCAGCATAAATGTGAGCTGCAGGCCGAGGAGTCAGAAGATATACCAGCACCTTCCTGTCCCTCGGCTATTTTTTTCCGTTTTACGCCACTGTGAATCTCACTATGCAGCCACACTTGAGTAACAATCTGTTTGAAGGACGCCCAGAAGCATCTGGCCCTCCAGAACAAATCAGCTGGAACTGTTGGAAGCATATCACAGCTAACGTGTGTCCACCAGTCACTAATATGCTCATCACTCTAATGCCTTAATTGTCCCAAACAATTCCCATTTTGTTTGTTTTTAGCCAGCTTCTCATTCCAAAGGGATTACATTGGTCTTCATTCATCTGCGTCCCATCTATAGAACGTCATGAGCAAACAAGTGTTTCCATTCACTTGACTAACTTCTGAACTTTTTTCCTCGTGTGTATTGAATGCATTAAAAGAAAACTCTCTTTTCATACTGTACGTTTTTATAAGCTGAAATCCTGTGAAATAAAATCATTCTTAAAAGCACGCTAACCTGTTTTTGCAAGCCCTGTATCCTTTTCCTTACCCAAGATTTCCCATCCTTCCTGTTCAGTGGAAGCCATCCTAATAGGACATTAGCATACTGTGCAGCAGAAGTGATGCCGTATTCATAACTTCCAAAATACATGCTCTTCCAAACATTGTTTCAGAAGTTGGATTTGTTTTAGTTTACCAAAATGTTGCTATGTATATCATTTAGTACTGGTTTAATGCTGTATCGCAGCGTAGGATGATTTCGAATGTGTTATGTTTTACCTGTTGATTCAAATGACTGGAATTATCTCAGATTCACACCCTTTAAAAAATATGTGCCTAAGGGTAGTTGTGCTGCCATATAGCAGGTGCACTGCCTGATAATGGTTTGTCTGTGACAGATAAATGCCGTGCTGTTAGGACCTGGTGGATATTTTCAGTTAGTACAGTTGGTTGAAACTCTAGTTTAAAAATCTTGAGTCTCTTCCCCATGTTCCATGCGTGCATAATTCTACAGCATAATTTCAATTACGTTTAAGGTTTAGTGCATGAATTGAACCATGCTTGGAGGGACAGGGGTGAAGTGGATATCATATTCTACGCTGTACGGCAGGCCTGAGGTGCAGACGTGTGACGGTAGTGGCAAATACCAGATGTTGTTAGTTTTAGTGGACTCTGTGCCAGTCATTTGGTTGTATGGGGTAGGAATATGGCACAGCCTCGTAAGGCAATTTAATGTCAGTACACCTTTCCTTGTGGACACAAGGACAGAGACGATACTATTTTTTGTATTATGGCACTGCTCATCTTTCCTCTTCCTTTTGGGTGTGTCAAATTAGCAGCAATCTTTCTCTAAGCTTGTGTACCATTTCTGCTGCTCTTGGGAAGAATTTAGTTTTAAATTTGCATTTTTATCTTCATATACATGGAAAAAGAGAGGCACTTAGTTCCTGGGTCCTGTCTTTATTGGTGGCCATTGTGGTTTGTGTTTGTGACTCCAGATTATAGATGTAGTAGGAAATATGCCTGATTTTACAAAACAGTTTAGTGTATATTTTAAATGTATCTACTCTTCTGCATATACCTTGGTTATTGGAAGTTTGTGCACTGGGGACTAAAGATTCTATTACAATCTTGTCAAGAGAAAGCAGATTGAAAATAGGGGAATATGGATAGGCTGATAATTGTACTAAGTGCTTGTATTAATGGCAACACTAAGGTGTGAATGTTTAATTTGCTCTCTTATAAATGAAGTCACCTTCTGAATTAAGAAATCAATTCCTTGGGATAGTTATTTGCCTGGCTAAAAATGGTTTACTGCTTGTCTTGAGAGGAGTCCTTCCTTAAAATGTGCAGTATATTAGACTGTGCTTAAGTTTTCTGATGAGTTTGGTTCATCCAGTGTGACTGAAATAGTTTCATTCTCATGAAATTTTTGATTCATAGAAGTTTCATGAGATCACTTAAGCATGTGACATTGGGGAAAAACACATATTTATTTAAATTTCCTTTATCTCACTACTTATTCCAAAACTTCAGCAGGCATGGTTACGGTCCATCAGCTTTATTTCTGGTGGTCTCATCAGAATTAGGGTTATCTCAGCGCTGTGGATGAACCCCAAAAAGTAGCCCAAGAGCTCTTCTACTTTACTTCGGAAATGAACTGGTAGAATTATCCCTTCTTACATGCCTGTGAGTCCTCAGAATATTCTGCTTTTACTAACATATTTTTTTGCAGCTCCAGAAGTTATGTTGTCTTTGTTTTGTAGGCTGGGCAATGATGACAACCAGTTTGAGGTGAACATGGCTAACAGCGGATGCGAAGTTCATCGCTTTGATCCCAGCATCAAGTCGGCGCACGTTCAGGAGGGACGGCACCTCTGGTATCATCGCCTGTCCATCGACTGGAGGGATCCCAATCCCGCCATTGCTGCTCATAAACTTCACAGCAACACAAAGAAGCTGGGCACAATATTGAATGAATTTGGACATCAGAAGGTGAGGTCTCGAGTATCACACTTCTAACTGCAAGATAAAGTGCTGGGAAACCGCAGAACTTTCCTTCTTGCCACCTCAGGGGCTCAGATGCTTTCCAAGGTTATCTCCTGACAGTGATTCTTCCTTCAGAAATACTTGTAGTGTATCTTCTTGTGGGGATGTCTTTTCTATCTTCTTTTTCCTATGTGCGGATAACAGCCACCTTGATTTTAAATCGCTAGCCGTATACTAAATACTTTCCTTCTCTTCTCTTCGTTTTCCCTTCAACTAGCTGGTGACGCTGGCTGCAAGTATTTTCAGTTCTGTGGTAGGTTTGGTCATTGCCTGATTAGGAGCGCTAAGCGATCCATACAGCACGGTTTTATAAAGAGGGGAAAAAATTGCAACAATAATTAGACAAGAAGAGGTAATGGATGGGTTGTTTACATTTGCAAGGTCACTAATCCCAATTACAGTCATCAATAACAAAAACATCCTGTTTTGAAATTGGCAGCAATCTGGTTTTTTGAAGTTGCCCAATTTCTTTTTAGGCAACTGTAAAAACATCAGAAATCTCCATGTCTCGAATAATTGTTGCCAAAACACATTTGAGGAAGTTCCTGACGCACAGACTTAGGTAGCTTTCAAGACAGTTTTTCCCTCAGAGGTTATACTAGCATGAGTTAAAATGCTAATATGCTTCATTGCCTGCAGCACACTCCGCGTGTCTTTGTTCTTTAAGAAAGAGGCAGCCTGAGCTAAGGAGGAGCTCTTCTGTAGGATTTACAGAGCAGGCAGTGCAACATAAGTTTGTTATTATAAAGTGCAAGATGTCCTTTTCACTTTGTTTCTTGCTTGTCTTTAGTATTTTCTTGAACTGTTTTAAAGATAAAAACAGGAAAAAAAAGCTTTTTCCTACTACTTAGTCATACTGTAACTGTTCTAGACTGCATTAGTGAAACATCTAGGGAGAGAGAGAGAGAGAGAGAGAGAGAGAGAGAGAGAGAGAGATGGCTTTCCTTTGACATGTGCCTTAGAATATTTGTTTTGATATTAGAAAAATTAGTCACAGAGCAAATGAATAGCAACCTGATCCAGAAAAGGCATATGAATCTTGTAATACACCAGACCTCCTGAGAATAGTTATTTGGTTATCGGGGTACTATGGAGTGATCGTAAGACCTTCTGTGAACTGGAAGATTGTAGCTATGAATTCTAAGCATATAACTTTCTGGGTGAGAGTTACCTTACGTGAAAGCACCCTGCTGGAGGGCAGCCAAGGAACATAATGCACGTCTAACACACGGAATCAGGCTTTTCTGTAGCTGTATACACATTGCGTAGGGTTTGGTTGAGTGTGTTGGTGCGTTGTTAGCACCGTTTCTGTTAGCATTCAGGTAGCTCCCTTGTGCAGAACTATTGCATTAATTAAGTCAGGAGATGAATTTCACCCAGTGAGAATAAAGCCATTATGCACTGTGCAATGTTCTGTCACTTCCTATTTGTGAAATATCTGAATGAACCAGTTCTACTAACATGGTTCTATTTAGTTTTTCTTTAATTGGAAGGCAGTCTCAGAAGTTGTATGTTGCACAAAGACTCCAATAAGCTCCAATTTATGAAGAGAACATCAAAGTAAATACTGTGACATTCAGGTTTTCATTTTTCCACAGAATGTGAGTGGAATATTCCCTTGACTGAATAAATAAGTTAATGCAAAACTCTTTCACAGAATGTTTTCCAAAGCGCTTTTTTCAATTAGAAATTTAAAACATTCTCTTCCTGTCATTCTTTTTGATTTTAAAAAGACCTTCTGCCTACTCTCAAAGTTGTTCTGTTCCCACTTCAAGGCAGGAATTCCAAGCAACTTCATTTGAAGCTAATGTCTCATTTTTTCCTTGCTTTTATTCTTTAAGATTTGGGACTTGATCCAAGGCCCTCCAAGTGAATGGGAATATTTCCACTGACGTCAGGGACTTTGGATCAGGCTGATGAAGAGAGGACAGACAAGGCATCCTTTAGTTCTTCTCACAGTAACCTTGAGAAGAAGACATGGCATTCGGGGGGTTTGTGTGCGACGACATGAAAGAACTGGAGTGGGCTTATTTCCCGCTTTGATGAGAGTTCACCTGCTATTCTGCAGTCAGTGCTGGGACCACTTCCCCAGAAATGGAAATCCATTCTGATATTATGACAAGAGATGCAGACTTTTTTTCCTGGTGTTGGAATGGTTTTGAGGAAACATTAAAAGAACTTGAGATGTCCAATTGGCTACGTGACATAACAGTCGTCTGTTTCTCTGAGGAGTGTAAATAGCATGGAGACAGAGGGATTACTAGCGCTATATTAGGATGAGACTGAGAACGGAAGCATGCAGTCAATATTTTGGGAAATTGCTAGAGTGACATTTTTTAAACACTGGAATAATGTCCGAAGGATATAGTCAGAGTCCTGTTTTCTGGTACAAAAATCTAGATTGAAAATGTATTGGTGTGTATTCTGAGGAGAGCAATATATTATTGGCCACAGGAGAGGGTAAAGATATCAAAATTGATCTTACTTATCTTTTTCTTTCTTCTGATTCTGGCATAGGCGGTTGCTGAATATGTGCACTCTGTAATGCACTGCTGATGAATAATGAAAAAAAAGGAGAAAAACCACTGCTTAAGATTTTCTTTCTCATTGTAGTAGAGTTCCACTTTTTGAAAGCTAATTTCTTCATGTTCTGCTACTGACTGCTGGGGTAAGGATGCTACAGTATTGGTATTCCCCATGGATTAGTGATAGCTGGACAGGAACTTCCATCATACAGGATCACAAGATAATTCAAGTTAGCAAGGGACCTTGAGAGGTCTCTAGTCCAACCCCAAGGTCAGCTGTGAGATCTGATGAAGTTGCTCAGGGCTTTATCCAGTTGGGTCTTGGAAACCTCTGAATTTTCTCCAAAGTAGAGACTGCACAACCTCTCTGGGTGTCCTATTAACACTGCTTGACTGTCCTCATTGTGAAAAAGTGTTTTCCTAGCATCCAGTCCGTCGTACCTGTCTTATTTCAATTTATGCCTAATGTCTCTTGTCCGCCTGCCAAGTGCTGCTGAACAGCCTGGCTGTGTCTTCTTGATAACCTTTTGGTAGGTGCTGGGGGGCTGCTGTTAGGTTCCCCCGAAGCTATCTCTTCTCCAGGCTGACCAAGCTCTATTCTCCCAGCCTTTCCATACAGGGCAAG